GGTCAGGATCAAGTTCACCCGGCCCAGGTTTCCCTCTCACAGGACTTTTGCCATCTGCAGGGGGAGAAAGCTGTCTGTGTTTTCAGGGGAAGCATAACCTGGTGCCCCTGCTCCCTCTGTGTTCATACTTTTGCCAATCAGTGTGAGGTTTAGGGAAGCTTGGAAGTGACATGAATTTAGGAGGCTGCACCGGTGTGTGTGTGTGTGTGTGTGTGTGTGTGTGTGTGTGTGTGTGTACGCACATGTGTGTCTGTGTTGTGGGGGTGAGGTGTCCTCAGGGAAAGGTTACCTACGGCCATACATTCCTTTATGTGACTCAGAATTCAGATGCTGGCGTGTTCAGGAGCAAACAGAGCTAAGCAAAGGCGTGTTCCGTTTATAGTGTCCTCCTTTGGAGGACAAGACAGCGGGAGCAGCAGCACGTGAGTGAGGGGCTTTGTATGTACTGAAATTTCAGCGAGGGCGGTGAGGCTGACCCTCCCTCACCTTCCCTGAGGTCCCCTGGCCGCGATCCCTGCAGATCCTCCCTCCGGCACGAAGGCTTCTTTTGACACCTAAATATCTGAAACAAGTGCCCTCCTCAGGGCCATTGCACTGTCTGTACTCCTCCCAGACACCTCCCCCCGGGTAACTGTGGGGACTGCACCTCGTCTAATTTGCATCCTCTAACCAAATGTCATCCAGTCTACTGCTCTTGTCTGAAATCCCATAAAATCGCTTTCCTTTCCATCTTTTCCTTTTTATTTTGGGCACCTTTCCATTTTCTTACTAGTCTTGTTATCTGCTTATATTCTTTCTCCCTAGTAGACTTTGGGATCTTTCATTTTTCTGCATCTTACGGCCATATTTCTACAGTGCCTGAGTGTCGGAGTGGCTGAAGTTGGAGGCCGATCACACTGTGCTGGGCTGGAGTGACCGGCGCAGCTCCAGTGAAACAGGAGACAGGAGACGCTCTTGTGGACGACAGTTAACTGCTGGTTTATTTACGCGGGCTCTGGTTTATATATTTGGCCGTGACCAATCACAGGCTGCCACGAGGAAGCAGGGCGGGAATGGGATGCAGGCTCTGGCTACTATATCCAGCTGTGGCCAATCAGGAGTTGCTACAGAGTACAGAGTAGAGCACGGGGTGCGCACGGGTTGGCTAATTTAAAGAGGGACGTAGCGCATTGCGGAAGCTGGCGTGGTCCTTAGTCCCGGCTGGGGTATGGTATGTTGAGCGCCTGTGCCCAACATCTCCCCCTTTCTCTATAACTGACGCAGGGTCTCCAGAGGTCAGTGCCCCTCGTGAGGCGTCATGCTGCGCAGTCATGACAGTGCCTCACTACTTGTTGGTGCTCTTTTGGAGGGGGCGGGAGTATTGTTTTATGAGCCCAACCCGCATGCTCACCAACATGGGGACCGGGGTGTCTCCTGGCCAAGGACGACACCCCCTGGGATGCTTTGCTCCACACCTGCGTCACAGCATGGCGAGCCATGCTGCCGGGCTTTGACCAGATTCCATGATCAGCAATGCTTGTTTGGTACTTTGTCCCTATTCCTTTGTCTGCAAATTCGACAGAGCAGAAGTAGACTGCCGAATGCGGCAAGTGTAGTCATGATAGCCAGAGCCCCTGTTCCTGCCCATTCCTTTATGAAAGCCAATTGGAGAGTTGGCCCGAGCTGGATCACAGGAAACTCGTCTGAGTCCGCCATAACTGGAACCGGTGCGAACTGGAGTACCTGCATAATAACAGCTGCAAGTGCACTGTTATCCCAACATTGTAACATATAACAGGTTGCGGTGGAGCAATTTAGAAAAGTCATTGGCTGCAAGGACCGTACGAGATGCAAGAAGGAAGGGAAAAGGAGGCTACTAACCAGGGGAGTTGGCCAAGGTGCCATGGTTAATGGGAGTTGTGGGTGTACTTGCTTGGTCTGGCTTGTGAGGCTCCTGTTGGTTCCCCTGTTCTGTGGTTGACGTTTCCTCTGGGTCGGGGTCTGGTGGTTTGCAGGGACGTATCAGGCGTTCCGGGACCCAGACAGGTTCGCTGCCTTCTTCCTTCGGGAAGATACAGACCGCCCCTCTCGCCCAACTAAGTACTGGGCTGGGGCCTCTCCACACCCCATGCAGGAGGTCTTTCCAGCGTACCCAACCATGTTTGGGTGCGACAGGGTTGGCATGTAGCTGTGCTGGCGTGGATCCTTGTGGGTTGATGTTTACAAAATTGTAAGTAAAGAGGGCAAGATTTAGTCTGGCCCTAGGTGTCATGCCCTGGGCAATACCCTCCTTTTGTTTAAACAGAATAGACTTGAGGGTTTGATATGGCCTAACTTTAATTGCTCTTGAATAAGTTTGGATGCGGCTTCTGCTTTGTCTCGTGGTAGGGCCGTCAACAATGGCAAGCCCCGACTCCTGCCAAGTTAACGAACTACACCTGGTGCAGACCCAGAGCAGCTGTGAGCTGCTTAATGAGCGGCATGGCTGTCTCTGCGTCTCCAAAAACTCTCCCTGCCGCCTCCATCATGCGGGCCACAAAATCTGAAAAAGGCTCGCTCGGGCCCTGCAAAATTTTTGTCAAGTGGCCTGAGACTTCTCCCCTAGCCGAGACCCGTTTCCATGCTTGTATGGCTATTCTATTTATCTGTGCATATACCTCTTGTGGAAATATCAGCTGGTTATTGAGATACTGCCCTTGTCCTAATAACATATCCGCGTTCCAGGCGGCCTGATTGTTCTGGGCATTAGCTTGGGCCTGTTCTGTGGCAAGTTCAACATTCCAAGCTTTCCAATCAAGATATTGGCCTGGGCTGAGCACTGCCTTGCACAAACTGGCCCAATCAGCAGGTGTCATGGAGTTTCCTGCCATGGCTTCTACTAGGGACAGGGTATACACCCCATTAACACCGTACATGGTGCTGGCCTCCTTAAGATGCTTTATCGCCTTTATATCTATAGGCAGGTGGGCTCTGTTTCCCTGAGCATCTACAGCAACCGGAAAAGCCTGGAGAAGACGGCCCAGGCCTCCTGGGTCCTCTCTTTTGACTTGATGCCAAAGGTCTTCCTGGAATGTCCCAGGGGATGTCTGGACCCATTGCGGACAGCTACATAGCTGATGGCAGGGTCTCTGGTGGGCGTGATAATCTGGCGGGTAGGGAGGTAGAGCCATAGGTCTTATACGGGGTGGCCCTGGGATCTCATACTCGCTTTTATTGACCCATTTACTCTGAGAAATCCTGCGTTGCAGCTCATTTATGGCCTCAGAGTAGGGCCCTCTCGACTGCATGTGTGTGACTTCCCCTCTTTCGGTGCTGTCTGCATCCGCCATTTTGTATACTTCTCCTTCCTCCCCCTCATTATCTGACGAGTCTGGGTTGGGTGGGGTCACCTCGCCTGCGGCACTGGACTCGCGAGATTGCTCACGGGAGGATTCTGCCTGATGGTGACCAAGCGCCATGGCGCCAGCCCTTATATGGTCACGACAAGAGGTGTCTGCTAGGCAGCTTCTCACTACGGCCCAAAGGGGTTTGACTCCTGGCTCCAGGAGGCCATTTTCTGCTGCAAAGTCAAGATCTCTCCCTAATTTATCCCAGCTGGGGATGGTAATGGACCCCTGTGGGACCAAACCAAGGTGCTACCTTATCGACCTGATCGAGGAAGTTTTGAATTTGTTCTCGTTTCATTTGTAATCCCTTTTCTCTCAGTAAGTCGCTTAAGGCGACTGACAGTGGCTGAGTAGCCGTGTTACCCATGTTAACCGGAATTTCAAGAGTTTCTTTTTATTTTATTTTTTTTTCTTTTTCCTTTTTTTTTTTTAATACAGGGACAGCTTAGTCCCCGCGCCCCTTTACGGCGCCCCCAAAACCGGCCTCTTTACGGCCCCCGGAACTCTCTTTACGAGTTCCTGACCCTTGCGACGCGTCCGCCCAAGGTTGCTCGATAGCCCCACCATCCGGCCCGCAGCCCCCGCTGCCTGTTGCGTAGCCCCTGCCACCAACGTTGAGCAGTTTAACCTGTCAGCCCCCGCCCGCCAAGTAGCCCCCACTATTGACGGTTTTACCTGTTAACGTCTCTGTTCCGTCAGAGAGAGAGGTTCGTTCCCCTTACTGTTGGAGAGAGGGTCTCAGCGTTCCGGGCTCCCCGTACGGGCCACCAGATGACCGGCGCAGCTCCAATGAAACAGGAGACAGGAGACGCTCTTGTGGACTACAGTTAACTGCTAGTTTATTTACACGGGCTCTGGTTTATATATTTGGCCGTGACCAATCACAGGCTGCCACAAGGAAGCAGGGCGGGAATGGGATGCAGGCTCTGGCTACTATATCCAGCTGTGGCCAATCAGGAGTTGCCACAGAGTACGGAGTAGAGCGCGGGGTGCGCACGGGTTGGCTAATTTAAAGAGGGACGTAGCGCATTGCGGAAACTGGCGTGGTCCTTAGTCCCGGCTGGGGTATGGTATGTTGAGCGCCTGCGCCCAACACTGGAGGAAGAAGAGTGCCTGGGGAGCCACGTGGCCGGGCGGCTCCAGCCCAGAGGTCCCCAAACCCCGAGACAAACCAAGCACTGGGGTGCTGGGCAAAGGGGTGTCACGTGGCATCATCTTGCTAACCCTGTAAACAAGCACCCCACAGGGCTGAGTGTTCCTTTCCTCCCAGCCACACAGAGGGCTCCACCTGACCTCAGGTTTTTTCTCTTTTCTTTTTTTTCCCTTCCTCTCACCTCCCTTCCCCCCAGGAACCTCGAGGGCTGCAGCTGGTTGGTATATATTCCTTAGCTGCTCGGAAAATATGATCACAACTCTGTGGGGTGATGACCTGATGCGGAAGGGGCTGAAGATGGACACAAATAATGTGATCGGAATCGTAAATACAGTCCAGGAGATCACGCCCAATGCAAAATACTCCAGCGAACTTCTTATTAAAAATACAAATTGTGGCATTTCAGCTGTAGGAGCAGTATACCTGCCTATGCGGATGTTACTAATGTTGTTTTTCTTCTTTTTGGTACTTATATGCATCACATGGAACCAAGAAATAACACCCAAGTTTCAGAATTTCTCCTTCTGGGACTCTCAGAGGACCCAGAGCTGCAGCCCCTCCTCTACGGGCTCTTCCTCTCCACGTACCTGACCACGGTGCTCGGGAACCTGCTCATCCTCCTGGCCATCGTCTCCGACCCCCACCTGCACACGCCCATGTACTTCTTCCTCTCCAACCTGTCCTTTGTGGACATCGGCTTCACCTCCACGAGCGTCCCCAGGATGCTGGTGAACATCCAGACCCACAGCAAGGCTATCAGCTACCCAGGCTGCATCGCCCAGATGTGCTTTTTATTGTTCTTTGCAGTCTTAGATGACTTCATTCTGGCAGCAATGGCCTATGACCGCTTGGTGGCCATCTGTCACCCCCTGCGCTACAGAGCCATGACGTGCCCTCGGCGTTGTGTGCTGATGGTCCTGGTGTCCAGCGTCACCAGCGCCCTGCATGCCGTGGGGCAGGGCTTCATGGTGCTGCGGCTGACCTTCTGTGCAGACGTGGAAATCCCGCACTTCATCTGTGAGCTTAATCAAGTGGTCCATCGTGCCTGCTCTGACACCTTGCTGAATGACGTGGTGATCTACTTCGCTGCCGTCTTACTGGCCCTTGGTCCCCTCGCTGGCATCTTGTATTCTTACTCCAAGATTGTCTCCTCCCTTCGTGCCATCTCTTCAGCCCAGGGGAGGTGTAAAGCCTTTTCCACCTGCGCGTCCCACCTCTCGGTGGTCTCCCTGTTCTACTGCACTGGCATCGGTGTGTACCTCAGTTCCGCCGTAACACACAACTCACACTCAATGGTGACAGCCTCCGTGATGTACACAGTGGTCACCCCCATGCTGAACCCCTTCATCTACAGCCTGAGGAATAAGGACATCAAGAGAGCCCTAAAACGACTGCTCGGCAGTGAGAGGAGAAAGCCTCTGGCTGAACTAAGACTGGACAAGTGAGGGGCTTGCAGGGCTCCACCGCGGAGCTGGGAATCGCCACTCTGTGGCCGGTTTGTGGCGGTGGCCCTGGCTCTTTGAGTTTCTTGTAATTTGCATCTCTTTGATATCAGTTTCTGTGGCTAACGCAACAACCAGAAAAATAATTGGTTAATTAAATTCCCAGTGTACTGTACTGCATTTTCCTACATTAAATTATTTTTTTGGTTTTTAGTTGATACTGAGTAAATGTACATAATCCCGGGCCACAGTGCAGGAATTCAACATGCGTGTGCTACGTAAGCATCAAGTCAAGAGTACTGGCTTTTCCACCTCTGTATCATTTTTCTTTTGTGTGGAGCCTTCAAATGACTCCTTCTTGTTCTTCATAAACTAACTAACATTGCATTTAGGCTTTCCATTCTTTCTAAGACTTAATAGTTTTTTTTCCCCTAATCATTTTCCATATTTCTCAGCGTTTTCCCCAGTGCTGCATCAGAAACATTTAGAAACTGACACTGATATCATAAAACAGTGTGAATTTCATTTTGTCCTTCCTCGGGGATTGGTGGAAAATTTTTTATTTGTTGTTTATGGAGCCAAACTTTATCATTCTATGATTGAAAAGGGCAAAGAATTATGAACATGCAAGAATCTCTTAAATATACTGCTAAAGAACTAATTCAATGCAAATAATACACTTCTGCATACATGACATTACTGTGCTCTCCTGGCATGCAGAACAGGGGAAAAGGGAGAGGCTGGAACCTTGAGTGTCTTAAGAGCAAAGTCTTCTCAAGCAGCACGTGGCATATCAATTGTTTCGCTGCTCAGTTTTGTCCCTCAGAAATATCCATGAGTTTTACTAATTCTCTGGAGAAAACCAATAGTTGGTAATGAAGGCAAATTTATCACAGGAATATCTGCAGGGAAGGGGGCGGGTTGGGAGGAAAGGGAACGACCGAGGAATTACAGTGCGTGTGTACACGTGCCAACGGCCCGCGAGGAGCGAGGACATTGTGTACTACAAGCATGGCCTCACATAAGACATAACTAAGAAAATAAATGAGTAAATGGTTAGAAAAAGACAATCTGAGGGTCTCGGCTTTGCTTTTATTTTTTTGTCTTTTTCCTTTTTATCGGTACCGGGGATCAAACTCTAGACAGCCTGCTTGCAAGGCAGGCACTTATGCCGCTGAGCTAAATCCCAGCCCCTCGTCTTTGCTTTTTTATTGTTAAGAGGAAAAAAACAATGGTATGAAATTTTGAAGCAAAATAACAAGAGTAACAATGGTTAATGCATTGCATGCTGTTATCTTCAATGTGGTCACTCAGATTAAAGAGGTAGGCATGAAAAATTGATCAAACAATACAAGCACAAACCTTATTTGCAATGAGCTAGTAGAAATTAATAGTATACTATTTTAAGTATCATATACGTGTGTATGTTTCCTGTTTCCTTCTTTCTTTTCTCCTCTCTCCCATCCCCGTTTCTCTTTCATTTGAACAGTTTCTTCCCGTTTCACAGTATCTATTGGATCCTATTTCCTCTTTTGGCTTCTGATACTAAGGAGACAATATGATGTTTACACATGCGAGTCTGATTTATTTCACTTGTGATTATAGTCTTGAGTTGCATCCATTTATCTAAATTTCGAGTTTATCCTCCTTATGGCTGCGTAGTACTCCATTCTAGAAAAATACCACATCTTTTTAATTCATTCCTTGGCTGGTGAGTATTTGGATTGTTTTAAAGATTTAGCTATAACAAATTGTGCTGCTATAAACATAGGTGCACATAGAACACTGTGGCTGCGATATTTTTCATTCTTCTGGGAAAATACCCAGAAAGAAACAGCTGGATCGAATGGGAACTCGAATTCCAGTTTTCTGAGGAATCTCCATACTGATTTCCACAGTGGTTTCACCAATCTACACTCCACCACCAGTGGAGAAGTTTCCTTTCCCCCTACAGCCCTTCCAGCATTTGTTGTGATTGGTTTCTGGAAGATGGCCACTGTTTCTGGGGTGAAAAGGAATCTCAGTGTGGTTTTAATTTCCATCTTCTGAATGATCAACGATATTAAACCTTTTCTCATGTATTTATGTGCTGTTTGTATTTCTTCATCTGAGAACTACGTATTCATTTCAGATACCCATTTTTGGGTTGGGTCTTTGACTTTTGGGGGGTCTGAGTTTTTTCAATTCTTTATGTGTTTTAGCTTAAGTACTTTATCTGGGGACAGTTGAAGGAAAATTTTGCTATTCTGTGGGCTGTCTCTCCACCATGTTGGCGATTGTGTGTGTGTGTGTGTGTGTGTGTGTGTGTGTGTGTGTGTAAAAGTTTTTTAGTAAGATGAAAGCCCAGTTGTTGATTCCTGGAAGCATTTCCTGTGCGGTTCGATTCCTGTTCATGAATTCTCTACCTACCCCTATGCCTCCAAGATTTCTGCCTACTTTCTCTTCCAGTTGATTTAGTGTTTTTATTTTAATATTTAGATGTTTGATCCACTTTGATTTTAGTTTATTGCATGGTAACAGACCTGGGTCTAGTTTTAGTCTTTGGAATGCAGAGAATCAGTTTTTCTGGCACCATCTATTAAAGAGACTGTCTTTCTTCCAGTGAACGTGTTTGACCCTTGTCAAAGACAAGGTGACCTAGTGTGTTTGGAGCTGAGTCTGCATCTTCTAATCTGTTTCACTGATCCTGAGGGTCCAGTTTTAACTCTGTTTTTAACCTTCACTCCTCCTCCTGAAATTTAGACACTGGCATTGTATTATATTTTATATGGTCTTGGATTTTTATTGGCTCATGAGAATCCTATTTTTTAAGGATCCCTATGTCCTGTATTTACCACATTCTCTGATAAAAACCGGTCTTCACATACACGTCCCAATGCAGAGTGTACACACTACAATTTTGAGTGTGTCAGTGTCTGCTCTTAGAGTAACAGGTCAGTCAGAACATGAAGAAAGAGTTTTGAATCATGTATTTAACACACTGAACTATTAGGAAGAAGACATCTTTTTCATGTTACACATGCCCTGCTTGAAGTCTGAAAGATGGGAGTCCATGTGTGAGGACCTTATTCAGTGAGACACAAACTCGCGATGTTTGTTGTTTGCTTTTAGGGGATTGTATTCTTGTTTCTGCTTAAATGCTCCAGGGCTGTCTACCAATACAGCTTCTTGTATTGCTCTTGTAGACCTGTAAGGTAAGTTGAGGCACACTGAATAGAAGAGAAAAGTTCCTTCAAGTAAACCGATCACTTGTATGTTCTCAGAGTTACTTAGAAATGTCATCTGACAGGGTTGTTTTTATAGATCAAAAAAGAGTGAGAAGGGCCATGAGGAATTGGGTGTTACAGTTATATTGATTAACAAACATAGTAGAGGTTGCTTGTGGGATTTTGGGTAAAAGCCAAGGAAAACATGGTGATGAATAGGGAAGGGTTGTTCGTGATCTTTGTGGTGTCAGAAACGCACCATGCAGCACGATGACACAGGTGACGCGTGTCATGACTGATTTGCTCCTGGGACTAAAGGGTCCTGGGACCTCATTTTTGTCATACTTTAAATCCTTTTTCATGCTCAGTAAACCATCACCCCCTTTTCCAGATTTCGTCATCATCTCTAAAGGGGCAGTGCATGAGGAAACTCAGTCTCATCCGTGTCAGATCCTTTGTGCCTGAGACTCAGTAAATGATTACTCCCTGGAGCAAGGCTGGTCCTCCTAATATAACCTGCTTTGTAAAGCGCACTTTAACTGTCTTACACACAGAGCTGTCTTATTTCTAGATGTTCTAATTAAACATGTTACTTGTGACTTTAAATTCCTGTGAATCTGGATTTATTTTTTAAGTTTTTACTAGTACTAGCATGTGGTATACACTAATTACATTCATTGTTGGGAGTTGGTACACGTGCAGAGTACAACTTAGTTCCTTTTTTAGCATCTTAATTCTTTTTCTTATTTAAAGAGAAAAAAGAAAGGACATTAAAAAACAAAGCAGTAAAAGGGTACAAGTAATACAGAATTGCAAGAAAAAAATATACAGTAAGAAATCACTAGTTAATAGGTTACTTATAGTCTTCTTTTTTTAAATTTTTTTTTAAAAGGAAAAAGAGAAAAACACAAAACAAAACAAAGTGGTGTAAGGGTACAAGTAATACAGAACTACAAAAAAAAAACCAGTAGGAAATCACCAGTTAAGAGATTACATATTATCATCTTAGAGATAGTTGCTCAAATCACAGTATCTAAGCATACAAAGTGGACATTCAAACAGTGAGACTGAAAACAGTTGTGTTCAATGATCCAACCAAAAACATTAATATGGTCAGCTATTTAACACCCCTAAACACTCTTGCTGTTGTATCCTTTAGAGCTCTTTTTTCCCCTCTCTTTTTTACAACAAAATTTACACATTTTGGGTTTTATTACTCCTTAGTTCTTATTACTTTTGGGGGGGGAGAGAATAAAGTCAAATATGGCAAAACAAAGCTGTCAGTCAAAACCAAGGATAGACATAGCACATGATGTAAAACAGAGTACAAGGTTATCAATAATGGTTATCAACGATATCTCTTGTTTTCTTAAAAAGAATTATCTATCTCATTAGATATTATAAAGTTGAACAAATCAGTAGAGAACAAGACCAATAAAACTTAAGCATTGTAAACATTACAGGACTTCCAAAGGAGACAATAGTCAAATCAGAATGGGCATCTTAGTGAATCTTATTGCCTTCAAAGTAGTTGCCTATACCCTCAAACTTGATACTATCATACAGAATGGAACAGATTGTCTTCTTAGAAACAGTTGTCCAAATTATAAAATTAAAGCATATAAAGTGGGCATTCATACAGTGATATTGGAGACAGTTCCGTTCAATGATCCAACAGAAGCTCAGTAATATGGTTTTTCATCCTACACACTGAAACATACCTGCGGTTATATCCCTTAGTCCACCTTCCTTTCCTTGCTTTAAGCATCTTAATTCTTCCCCTAGCATCTTAACTTC